GCTAATAACACAGCTAAAGAATAAACAAATGAAACTAACAGGTATCAGCTTCCATTTAATTGCAGGTAATAAATATCTAGGACCAATCCCATCCTCAGCCCTCCAGTAGACTATACCTGAATGTCTTTAAAGAACTAATCTAGCTACAGTATACCTGGTTTGATATTATACTTGCAACACAATACCCAGCAAGATTTCTTGCTTTGGTGGTTGAGGTTTGTAAACTTAATTTTACTAAAAATGAAATGAAAGTCACTGTGTTTCTACCTTTGGAGGTGGGGTGTGAGGCAGTGTGTGACCTACACACAGTAAGTTGTGTGTAGCTGCTGTGGGAAGCTGAATTCCCTCTGAAATCCTACAGTCTTCTGGCTATGGTGGTAGAAGATTTTCTGCTCTCTTCTCAGCTCTCTGCAGCTATCAAACAACCCTCATCAGCCCAGTTATCTTCTACAAGCTATCTCCACCTCTTAACTTTCCCTGCACCAGTTCAGAGGTGGTTCAGTCGATAATTTGTGTCCAATTCTGTGTGACCCCATGGACTCTAGCCTGCCAGGCTCCTCTGTCCATTGGGATTTTCCAAGGCAAGAATACTGGAGTGGGTTGCCATTTCCTTCTTCAGAAGATCTTCCTGACCCAGGAATTGAATCTGGGTCTCCTGCCTTGCAGGCAGATTCTTTATCGACTGAGCTACAGGGAAGATCAGACCAGAGGACAAATCTCTTAAGAAAAATTTCCCACTTTATCCCCAGACCCTGACTCCTTCAAACACACACACACACACAAACAAAAATACCTACCCTAGAGCTGTGTTATCTGTTTGCAGATGGAGTATTTTCTTCTTCAGAAACTCCATTTCATCATTTGTCCTTGTAATTTTTGTGTGTAGTTCACTTATCTCAACAAGATTCACTCTGCGAGCATCCCTGACACATTCTTAAATGTAAGTGGAAGAAATGTTACTCAGTTATTTGAGAAACTGCACAGTTGTAGATACTGACCTTTCAAGTCATAAACAAATTATGTCTTTCTTTGAAATATTCTTCTAAGTATGTTCTGGATCAGACACCTCTCCCTCACCCCTTTGGACCCTCTCAATCTCACCTATCAATTATATCCCTAATTTCAGCTGCAGCTATGGTTAGTGACCAGCTTTCTATGAGCTCTGCACAACTTTAGACTGGTGCAGTCTGACCAGCTCCTGGTTCCTGCCTGTCCTATCCACTTCTCAGCTATTTAGGACTTCCCTGTCACCTCTACTATGGGACATCTTCAGATACTCACACTCCCACATGTATGTGTAACGCAAAGTTTGGGAGATGTGGCAAGCATGCACCAGTGGACTGCCTGGATGTTCCTGAGAAGGGGTACCACTGTGTCCTGGGGGCATATTCTCATACTTAAGCTAGTTGCTGTCACCAGTAGTCAGCATGATATTGCCTCCATATTAGCTCTCCCTTCTTCCTGCTTTGGTTTCTTATCCTACTCTCATCCACCTGGACTGTATGTCCTAATAAAATAATAGTGCAAGGACTTCCCTGGTGGTCTAGTGGCTATGACTCCATGCTCCCAATGCAGGGGGCCTGGGTTTCATCATGGTCAGGGAACTAGATCCCACATGCAGAAAGTAAAAAAGATCCTCAATGCTGCAATGAAGATTGAAGATCCTGAGTGCCACAACTAAGACTTGGAGCAGCCAAATAAATAAATATTGAAATTTTAAAAATTAAATAAATAATAGTGCAAAAGCCACTGCTTCTGGCTCTGCTTTCTGAGGAAGCCAGTGTGTTAAAAAACTAAATTATCCATCAATAAATAACATCTGTATAATCACAGAAGGCTTAAATCACAGAAGACTTCAAAGGATCGCCTCAGTGCTTGAGAGATAGATGGTGAAAAATTCATGAATATTTGAACACTGTTGTTTAAAAATGAGTATTGGGCTATCCATTTCTGTGCAACAAATTCCCTAGAAACTGGTAGCTCCCCTGAGAGAACTAGATTATTTTTTTCATAGGTTATAAGTTAAGTTGCACATTGTAGCAGGGTTTCTCAAACTTTATGTCTTAAATATGCATATACATCACCTGGGGGTATTGTTGAAATATAGAATTTGATATAGTAGGTCTGAGGAGGGCCTACAGATTCTGCATTTTGCAACAAGCTCCCAGGTGAGGTTGATGCTACTGATCCAAGGACTATCCTTTGAGTTGAAAAGCTTTATAATACAAGGCCAATTAAATTTATTTGGTTAAGTATTTCATGTGTATCAAAGACATTACAAAATAGCACGGTATTTCTTTTCTCTTCTAAAATATGTCTTGCTTATAAAAGTAACTGGACAGTAAAAAAAAAAATCAACAAAAGAAAATAAAAACATTCTTAATTCTGTCTTGAGCACAGATTCTTTTAAGTTTTATTTTTCATCTGCATGTAGGAGTTTGATTTTTCCTGCCAACTAACTGAGCATATTGTTTAATAACTGACTATATCATTCAGAGTCAAATTGGGAGATAGAAACCTCATATTGAATAGGGAAATTTTAACATCAGGAATTATTAACTGTTTCAGAGAATTAGCTCAGTTGGTAAAGAATCTGCCTGCAATGCAGGAGACCTGGGTTTGATCCCTGGGCTGGGAAGATGCCCTGGAGAAGGGAAAGGCTACCCACTCCAGTATTCTGGCCTGGAGAATTTCATAGACTGCAGTCCATGGGGTCGCAAAGAGTAGGACACAACTGAGTGACTTTCACTCCACTTCACTTCAGAGAATTAGAGTAATGAGAAAATGAATAGTAAGAAAGTAAGGTGGCGCTAGTGGTAAAGAACCCATCTGTCAGTGCGGAGCGTGGGTTTAATCCCTGGATCAGGAAGGCCTCCTGGAGGAGGGCATGGCAACCCACTCCAGTATTCTTGCCTGGAGAACCCCATGGACAGGGGAGCTGAGCGGGCTACAGTCCATGGGGTCAGAAAGAGTCAGACACGACTGAAGCAATTTAGCACAGCACGCACAAAGAAGACTAAAGAATTCAGCAATACCCAGCACAAGGAGCAGCACTATCCTGAAGGCCGAGATAGCGTGCCTTCTAGGAAGCAGCACCTCCAGTCCTGAGATCCAGACCCTGCTGAAAAAGGCTGTGGATCACTGGACGGCAAAGAATTTCATGAAATGCTGGGTTGGCAGAACTTACTAGAAATATGGCTTCTGGGGGCACTGGGGAGACCTGTCCACAGGGAATTGTTATACTTCAGAACTCACTGCAAACTGCCAGAGAAGCTTCACAGGGAGGGGCCGCACTGGTAGCAATCCACCAGGAAGCTGCCCGAGGCATATGGGTGGGAGCTTCCGGGCACCAGGGCTGCTGCACGCTGCTGGGAGAAGTTACCTGCACTGCAAGAGCTGGCCCAGCTGAGCACAGTGGAACACGAAGAGAACCCCCTTTTCCTCCAGTGTCCCTCCAGTGCCCTGTACTAACAAAGCTTAACATTGGGCCTGTTGGCAAAGGGGGAGACTTACAGGACCCAACTCCCTTATGACAGAGCAGACAATGAAGGTAGATTTGGAGCTGCAAGGCAATAAATGAATAACTGGAACAGCTACTTTAAAATCTTATTTATTTTTTTTTTTTTCAGTTTACTTAGACCACTGTTTTAGGTTGGGCTCCCTAGGAAACAAATTTTTAAATTTGTGTAGAGCTGGGGAACATCTCCTCTGAGGAGATAAGAGTTGCAGAAGGGTGGAGGGTTTAAATGATAATGAGTTTTAAAGCTGTAGTGACACTTCAGAGTTATTCTACAGTGATCGAGGGAGGCAGACCTTTGTGCTCCCCCGGTGACCAGTCACTGAATGGACAGCACTAGGGGTGGGCTGTAACCTGGACTGAAGCCTTCCTCTTTTGTCAAGGACAATTTCTGCAGAGGAACTGAGCTATGAGCTTCAGCCAACACTCCTAGCAGCTGGAAAAATAAAGTTGGAGTCTGATCTTACAATAAATACAACATGTAACTCACTATGGATTGAAGGCCTAAATATAAGTAAGAGCTAAAACTATAAAACGCTTAGAAGAAAACATAGGTGAAATCTTCATAACATTGGATTGAGCCATGAGTTCTTGGATATGACACCAAAAGCACAGGTAACAAGTGAAAATACAGATAAACTGGACTATGTCAAAATTAAAAACCTTTGTGTATCAAAAGTCATTATCATCAAGAGTGATAAAGTAGCCCATGGAATGGGACAAAATCTTTGCAAATTATACATCTGAAAAGGGGTTAACATCCTGAATGTATAAAGAATTCCCACAGCTCAACAACAATGCAGCAAATAACCTAATTAAGAAATGGGCAAAGGAAATGAACAGGAAATGACATTTCTCCAAAGAAGATATACCAATGGCCAATAAGCACATGAAAAGATGCTCAACATCACTAATCATTAGGGAAGTGCAAATCAAAACCACAAGAGATAGCAATTCTTATCCAGTAGGGTGGCTGTTATTTAAAACAAAACAAAAACAGCAAGTGCTGGCAAGAATGTAGAAAAATTGGAATGCTTTTGCATTGTGCAAATGAAGGTAAAACAGTGCAGTCACTGTGGAAAACAATATGACAGCTTCTTGAAAAATTAAACACAAAATTACTGTATCACCATACAATCCAGCAATTCCCTTCTGCATTTCTACCCAAAAGAGTTGGAAGGAGAGACTTGAATAGATATTTGCACACCTGATACAATAGATATAAACACACATTTGTAATAGCACTGTCATTTACTATTATAATTGTTATTATTATTTTGTAACTACATTATTTACAATAGTTAAAAAATGGAAATAATGCAAGGTCCATTGATGGATGAATGGATAAACAAACCATGGTATATACATACAATGGAATATTGTTCATCCTTAAAATAAATTCTGGCATATTCTACAACATGAATTACCCTTAAAGACATGCCAAGTGAAATAAACCAGTCTCAAAAGGACAAATACTGTCTTTAGTCTATTTATAATAATTATATAAATTCAAGTCATATATGTTATTCCACTGAAAAGGGAAACATTATGGATCTCACTGTATGTGTCTTGTATACTCTTTCTGGCTATTTTTTTATATGGAATAACTATTCAACTCATCTTGTTACAAGTACTAGATTATTGTCTTATAAGATAAACTAAATTTCTACAGTTAATAAACTCAAAGTACCTTCCAATTCTCTGCTAACCCTAGTGGGAAGAGTTTCCAATAGAAAATATAATCTGCTGAGTTCCATGCTTTCAATTTCCAGAAGCTCTATTGTGGACTTTCTCATTTCTTCCTGAAAATGTAAATTACATATTTAAAAAGTTAAGACATTAAAATAATGAGACTGATTTCCTAAACAATGCCCACAAATGTTTTCAGACATCAAAATTTGCTTTTCAGTAAACATCTTTTGCTGTCATTTTTATTTGGAATAGAAAGTGGGAAATAATTGTTTTCCAATCAGATTTTNAGACTGATTTCCTAAACAATGCCCACAAATGTTTTCAGACATCAAAATTTGCTTTTCAGTAAACATCTTTTGCTGTCATTTTTATTTGGAATAGAAAGTGGGAAATAATTGTTTTCCAATCAGATTTTTTTTTTTATTTGTCTCAAGCAGTAAAATACTGGTTTATTAATTAGATAGTTGAGGTGAAAATACAGATGTAACAACCACTGTTTTTTTTTGAACCCAACTTTACCATGTGGCTGTGTCAACTCCTCAAAGGCAAGACACTAGGTCTCAATCCCCTCTAGAACCCCAATACTCAGTCTGATACCTCAGAAACTGTCAATCAAGAATTAAAGAATGAATACACACACAAACGAATGAACAAATAACCCTTGATCTATGGGTCTGGTACTGTATGACATTTTCATCTCTACACAGTACATTTAGTAAGTCAATCTGAATGATATTTCAAAGCAACCATATAAGAAGGGACTGGGGATGGGGATAATTACGGGAAGAGGAAAAAACAAAATTGCCTCAAGTTTCATTGCAAATTTAAAAGAACTTGAGCTTTCCACTCAGGCCTGCCTTGACCACCGGCTAACTATATAATGTTGCTCAAATTATTTAGCTTCATTCTATATTGGTCCCTCAACTGTAAAAGAAGAGTTAACAAAGTATAAGTCAGAAAGCTGCTGTGGAGATTAAATGAAACAATACCTGTAAAGCACTTAGCATAGTCCCTGGCACATAGTGAGAGCCCCAAAACATGCTGATATAGTATTTTATCAATATCATGGATTCTGGGCCGACTACCAGGTACAAAATTAAGGGGAAAGAAATGGACAAAAGGAAGAAGGTGCAAAGAAAATCCAGTTCCCCAAGTCTCCACAAAGTCACCTTCGAAATGTTTTCCAATCAGATTTTAAGGTATCTTTCTTCATTTATCTTTTAATTTCTTCTACTCAGAAATTATTTTTTGCTATGTGTGTGTTCTTTTTTAGGAAAGACTCCTAAAAAAGAGTGACACTGAGAAAAATCTCCTTAATAAACTGGAAAATGACTGTAAAAGTCTGCTTAGGTATAAAAAGAATGATAGTTTTCTTATATCTACCTAAAAATCCAAACAAATAGTCAGGTGGGTATGTGGGACTATTTTAAAAAAAGGAAAACAAAAAAACTGAAAATCTGATAGTGGAAAAAACAGATAAACTGTTTCAAATAAATGGTGGTAGTGGGTATAGTTCTTTATGATCTGAAAAATTGCCATTATATTTTATGAATAACAAAAAGCAGGTTGCCTAACTGTATATTTAGTATGATCATTTTTCTGGTAAAAAATAAAATTTAGTACAGGCATCATCTCTATCCTGAAAGTAGGAAAGACATCCATCAAAGAGTTAATTATGATTATTTTAGGGTGGGATCATGATGTTTTTTATGCTTTCTTGCTTTTGCTTGTCTATTTTTCCCTAACTTTTCCAGAGTAAACATACAATGCTTTTATAATAGTGAAAATGTTATGGTAAAAAATGAGAGGATTTATCTCTATTTAAGGGATTTCACAGCTCATATGGTATAAGGAGACATGCTAGATATTTTAATAAGCCAAAACAAATACTTTGAACCTTTCAAATCCTGGAGAAAGACATAACTTTTTAATAAAAGAACAAAACGAGGAAAAGGTTTCCACAGGATCACAATGCAGTACCATACACACACCAACTCTCAGTGTTTACAAAATATGTACTTAATTTACTGGGATTATAAAATCTAATTCTGCAGTATACATGTACAACTACATATAATTTCATAAAAATACAAAGTAATGAGATTAACTTTTTTCAGCAATCTGTAGACTCAACTCATTTATTTTACAGCCATACTTCCACATTTTTAGATATTTGATATGTAGGAGATTCTTACTCAATATTTTTAAATCAAATGGGATGTCACCTTTCTGAAATATTATTCAGGGCCAGGGCCAAATAGAGAGACATGGTTGTGACACTTCAAAAAGAAAGTCTTTAAATATTACTTTGATGGGGCCAAGTTAGCCTAACTGAAAGAGAACCTGTTTGCTTTCATTGAAAAGCACTGTCTATGTTAATGAAGTAAGCCCCGAATAATCTTTGACCAGTTTTGTGAGGAATTGCTTATAGAGACTTGGGAAAATTGGCACTGTGCATGCAGTTTATCCCAGAGGTTGTTTGCTGGTTTTAAGCAATGTTCACATATTGATGGCACGTGACTCACTCTTAACTGAGCTCTGTTATCACCAGGGTCTCTTCTCTTGAGCAGTCTTGCCCTCCTGCATAGCCCAGGTCCTTAACTCAGTGCTCTGCCTGGGAAACTGGGCAGCAATCCACGGCTGATCCACACTGGTGCAAATGTTAGTAAACTGAGAGAAATTTTCATTCAGGGCAAATATTTTCCTTATTCATCTACTGAAGTACGTTGAACAGAGTTGGTGCTAAATTAAAGTTTGATGAAGAAATAAGTGGAAGATTAAAAAAGTAGCTCTTATAGGTAATACAATACCAATTTCTTAACAGCGATAGCAACGTCCTTAAGAAAGTTCTTAGCTTCTTCATTGCATTTAAAATAGTCACTTTGCAGTGATTGTTCTAAAAAAAAAAAAATCAGAAAATTAAGATCTCTTACTTATCTATCCAAATCCTATTTAATCCTTAGAGGTCTAGCTCAAATGCTTAATCAGTTGAAAACTACATCTTCTAACTCTTAATTTTTATAGTAAATAATATGAATCTCTTTTGCACTTATTTTACAGTGTACAAATTTAGGCATATGCTTCATGTTTCTTGAGGCCAACCTCGTCTTAAGTTTCCACCTTTGTATAATTCATGGTAAAAAGAAGGAATCTGCATAGTATAGGACAAAAAATTCAATAATTCAATAAATATTTTATGAAAGGGATAAATATAACATGCCCATAATGTGGGCTTAAGAACGTCTTCATATATATATTTGTATGTATATATTTGCTGCTGCTGCTACTGAGTCACTTCAGTCATGTCTGACTCTTTGTGACCCCATGGACTGTAGCCTGCCAGGCTCCTCCATCCATGGGGATTCTCCAGGCAAGAATACTGGAGTGGGTTGCCATGCTCTCCTCATGTGTATATATATATACATATATACATACATATATATCCTAAATGTTATATTTTACAAAAACCACTTAATTCTTTAAAAATCCATCATGTCATTTTCACTTCTGTGCCAGTATTTTGATCATGGGGTGAGAGTAAATATTTGTGAAACCGGTAGGTGTGAGTTAGATAACAGTTTTTAACCCCTTTCATTCACAGCCATATGAAAGACATCACCTTTCTCTCACATACTGTAAGATGAAAACACATGAGAAGAGAGATTTGGAAAATGTAAAAGGAAGGAAGACAAGATACATGCAGACAGAGAAGAAGGGAAAGAAAAAAGGAAGAGGAGAGACAACAGAGGAAACTCCACTTACTCTGTCACCATTGCATTATACAGATTCTGTCTAAACAGATTCCAAGCCTGCATCCTCGTGTGCGGCATGAGTTTGATAAGCTTAATTTTTCACATGTTTGTATAATACAAATTGATTCTTATAACTCCATGATGCTTCCCATTTCGCAAGTGAGAGATCTAAGACTTTTGAGGTTATGTAACGTGCTTTAGGTGGCAGAGCCTATCACTGATTGAGTCTGGATTCAGACACAAGGGGTGTGACTCCAGAGTCCATGCCCTAAGTGGCCATCCTCACCTCCCAGAAGAAATGCTATTTTCTGCCCTCCGTTCCAGGGAGCTTGGATTCTCTTAATGGAATAAGTTCTCAAACTGAGTGAAAATCAGTTTCTGAGGTTCCAAGCGAGTGTGTGTTACAGAGGGACAGGCATGCTTGGCTTGCTGTTGCTGTTGTTCAGTTGCTAAGTCATGTCTGAATCTTTGTGACCCCATGGACTGCAGCATGCCAGACTTCCTGTCCTTCATTATATCCTTTCAATTCTTCCATGGAATGAATGAGTACAAGCATGTTCCCACTTGCAAATGGACTGGACAGCTGCATATTTTATAACTCACACTTAGGGTAAGAAAGCATAATGAAGCTTTCTCGTATGACAGATTTTCTTACAGTCCAGAAATTGTTAGCAGAAAAAGGATTTGTGCCTAATGCACACTTCCTTGCCTAAGGCAAGGGGAGCTTCTTGAACACTCCCTTTCTGATTTACCTGTTAAACTCTCCAGTTTGCCATGACTAAGTGTTGGAGAAAGTTAACTTGCCAAGAAAAAGCAAGAAAGAGACAAACTGAAATTAAATACATAGCTTAAATGCAGTTGGGCATTCTAATTACAAGGAAATGGCAATAGCCTGGGAGTTCAGGATTTGTCTGGGATATGTCACCAGCTGCTAGTGTGAGTTGTGCCTTGGGTCACCCATCTCTCCCACAAGGAGCTGGAGAAAGTTCCCTCAAGGGTTTCCGCTTCATGCTGCTTAAGCACCACTTTCCAGAAGATGTCCCTCCGAGAGCCCACGGGCCGCTCACCCACAACAAGGAGCTGCTCAAGAGCGTCGGCCGCGACCGAGGAGCCCAGCGTGGAGGGGAAGGTGCATAATTCCAGGGAGGGGCCAGTGGACACAGCGGCCACCGGCAGCGCCTTCTCGCTGCCTAACCCCAGCTCCGGGGACCAGGCGCTCAGAGCCATCTTATAGTTCTTGCGCATTTTCGACCAGGCCAGAGGCTAGAACTGCCGGTTGCCACGGGCAACGAGGACGCTGAGGCAGTGCGCCAGCTCGTGGCTCTCACCCGGGATGGGTACCTAGCCAGTTTCTTTAGCTTTATCCACAACAATTAAGGGATCCTGTAGCTATGAGACCCTCTTTAGCCGTCATTTCCGTTTCTCTAGTTCAGCCCTTGTAGCTGAACACTTGTGCCCTTCTCACCGACCGGGGGGAATCCTGATCATGTTTGAGCGCATTTCTGTGCTAGGTACTAAAGGGAGGAGCTTTTTGTACAGTTCCCTAAATGTTCACAATGGCTATGTAAGGAAAGTTCTTTTATAATCACCACTTAAACAGACAAAGAAACTGAGGCAGGGATGACTAAGTGAATTGCCCAGGGTCACAAGAGAATCATTTTGAGTTTAAAGTGGAGCCTATGTAAATCTTTCCATTATGCTACAAAACCCATCACTGTATTCTTCAAGACCTTTCCCTGGAGATCTTCTGCCCTGAGCACATTTTACCTTGAATCAGTGAATTTCTTCTGCTTTCTCATCAAACTGTGAGCTCTTTCAAGGCAGGGATATTATTAATTTTTCTCTGTGTCTCTAAAATCCAGTCCTGCATCAGGCTCAGATTGAGAGTAACTGTTAGTTCCTCTTTCCTCTGGCTGGTTATAGAGTAGCAAAGATGATTTAACCCCCTCTTCTTCACTTTTCTTTACAGATTGAAATTGAAATCATAGTGAAAAATAACATGACAACAACTATCTTGTTGAATGGAACTATATTGCAGGCCTTGTCCCACGTTACCTACAGTATCCTATTTAATGCTCATAACCATCCTTTGGGGTAGGTGTTACTCCCCACTTTGCATATGAGGACACAGAGTATACATATGTCCTGTATCATTGCGCTGTACTGCCTTGGGGAGGACACAGCCTTGAGGACATCAACAGCAGAACTAGCTCGAGAATCCAGGCCTCCTTCCTCCATGCAGAACCATATCCTGGCCTCCCTCCTGGGTCCCTTCTTCTGCAAGATCGGACGTTCAGATCTATCCCTGCCCTTCTATGTTTTTCTGTGTGTGTCAGGGGGAGGATGTCTAGAAACCACATTCCTCAAACACACTTGTTGGCTGCTTGCAGACACTGCTGGGAGATTAGCTGGCAGAGAAACCATTCTATTCATCCCCTGGAGTGGTAGTTTCAGGCCACCGCAATCGACTGCGTCCCAGCAGGTTTGGTGGCTCCCGAGGTGGCCAGAGTGGGAATCAGTGCCTCTAGTGGTCTCCAGCTGCTTATCAGTCAGTACAGGCATGTGGGCATGGACCAGATGTGTGGCAGCTTTCTGGTCTCTGGGATCTCCTTTATGTTCCTTCCCTTTGGTTTTATAGCCCTTGTAGCAAATTTCCTGTGGCAAATTCCTCTGCTTGAACTATCCTGACTGTTCAGATCTATCCCTGCCCTTCTATGTTTTTCTGTGTGTGTCAGGGGGAGGATGTCTAGAAACCACATTCCTCAAACACACTTGTTGGCTGCTTGCAGACACTGCTGGGAGATTAGCTGGCAGAGAAGCCATTCTATTCATCCCCTGGAGTGGCAGTTTCAAGCCACCGCAATCGACTGCGTCCCAGCAGGTTTGGTGGCTCCTGAGGTGGCAAGAGTGGGAATCAGTGCCTCTAGTGGTCTCCAGCTGCTTATCAGTCAGTACAGGCATGTGGGCATGGACCAGATGTGTAGCAGCTTTCTGGTCTCTGGGATCTCCTTTATGTTCCTTCCCTTTGGTTTTATAGCCCTTGTAGCAAATTTCCTGTGGCAAATTCCTCTGCTTGAACTATCCTGACTGGACCACTCTAAGCCAACCTTTTTGCTGTCACCAGAATATTCTTCCTACTCATCACTTCATTTGGATCACATTGTTCTCCACTGTCTAAGAGTGAGGCCAATCCCTGAGGGGGCATTGTAAACCTTTGTAATTACAAAAGACAGTAAAGTGTTTTATTATTATTTAAAAAAAACTTTTTAAAAAAGAAAATACACAAACTTAAAATAGTTGAGAGTATAAAGAAGCATTCTTATCCTTCAGTAGCCATAGACGGTGTTCACCGGGCCAGACATCAGGCCCCATTTCTCTCATGTTTTTCTCTGGTGACATAAACAGATACTTCTCTCTTCTAGTCAATATTTTTTTCAGGCAGACTTTAACTCAGGAGCAGAACAGCATATTGGAATACCCCAGTCCCATGCTGACATTTATTTTTTTAGTTATAAGGTTTTTAGTTATAAGCAGGTTTCCTTCTGTTTCCCCTGTTGCTGACAGGGTCAGGAGGAGAACCCAACTACTGCGTGAGTTTGACACCTAACTTGCACAGGAGTGTTGATGATCCTGTATTCAGGTGTATTTGCAGTTCCTGCAGTATTTGAGGTTTATATGGTATTTGATGATGACATGCTCTTGTTCCTGCCTCTGCATAAATCTGGTACCTCTAGAGAAAACCTCAACTTCTTGGTTGTGTTTCTAGACCCTGGGTTAAACCAGGTCAAGGTCCTAGTCTTGGTTAAACATTTCATGTATAGGAAGTGGTTGCATGTTTCAGTGCTTTGCTCTGCTCAGCGTTAAAGGATCTCTGATGGTTCAATACTGGACTGTGCTCAGATCCTCCAGAGGAGTAAAAATTCAAGGAAATCGAGTCTGTCTTTCTCACTCTGACCCTAACGATAACAAATACAGGGACTAATATGGGTACATACAGTCCATGGGGTTCTCGTGGCAAGAAAACTGGAGTGGTTTGCATTCCCTCCTCCAGTGCACCATGTTTGGTCAGAACTCTTCACTATGACCTGTCCATTTTGGATGGCACAGCATGGCTCAACGTCATTGCATTATGCAAGCCCTTTGCCACAGCAAGGCTGTGATCCATGAAAGGGTATGTGCCCGTATTAGGTCCATATAGTCAAAGTTATGGTTTTTCCAGCAGTCATGAACAGTTGTGAGAGTTGGGCCATAAAGAAGGCTCAGTGCCAAAGAACTGATGCTTTTGATCTGTGGTGTTGCAGAAGACTCTTGAGAGTCCCTTGGACATCAAGTAGATCAAACCAATCAATCCCAAAGGAAATCAGTCCTGAATATTCATTGAAAGGACTGATGCTGAAGCTGAAATTCCAATACTTTGGCCACCTGATGCAAAGAACTAACTCAATGGAAAAAGCCTGATGCTGGGAGAGATTGAAGGCAGGAGAAGGGGACGACAGAGGATGAGAAGGTTGGATGGCATCACCAACTTGACGGACATGAGTTTGAGCAAGCTCCAGGAGATGGTGAAGGACAGGGAAGCCTGGTGTGCTACAGTCCATGGGGTTGCCAAGAGCTGGACACAACTTAGTGACTGAATAACAACAATATAGGCACATGGCCCTGTCTCCCCATCATGGTTGATCAGTAGGATTTCTTTATCTTAATGCCCTGCCACCTTTTTGCATGCTGTGTTTCACCTTCAGGCCTATTGATTTATGGTCACAGAAGGCTACTGCAGCCCCAGACGTCATGCCCTTGTACGAAGTGGGAAGGAGTGGAAAGTGTCTTATGGAAGCCCCTCTTCTCTTCCATCAGGGAAGGAAATCTGGTCAGAGTCCTACACACTTCCTTTTATGTCTCAATGGCCAGCACTAGATCACAAGGCCACCCATCAAAGGGAGGTTAGGACAAGGGGTATCTGTATTTCCAGCTTCTGTGGAGGTGGCAGTAGAGAAGAGGCTTCAGAACAGCTGGACAGTTACCCAAGGAATGTCAGACACACATTCATTCTCCAAACTAACCCCAACATTAGGTCCAAACTAACCCCAACATTAGGTCCAAACAGCTGGCTGGGTGGGCCTTTCCTAAGGGTGGTGAAGGAATCAGTGAAGCTTTTAGCACTGAATAGAGAGGGGGGGGCTTGATCTTTGCCCATTGGTACCAGTAAGATTTCCCCCATTTAAGACTTCATATTGGCTTTGTATGGGCTTTATGCCTAGTCTGCAAGATGCTTGCATGTTAGGCAAAGATTCCATAACCCTTGGGCTTTGCACAGCTTCCAAATTACCTGTCTTGTGATCAGGATGCAATTCTCAGCTACAGCAATTCTATCACACAGTCATTTGTGGTGAAATGGCAGGAAGAGCATGTCCCCTTGATAATGCCAGATGGGTCGAGAAGCAAACAGATGGGATTAGTGTCCCTGGTGGAGTTACGCCAAACAAGGATAGCAGAGCATCTCCAAGGAAGGGCAGACCATGCCACTGTTTGTAACAACACTGACAAGGGCCCTCCTTTTCAACTTTGTCTCTTGAGTACTTGTTTTTATCCATCATCAGCAATTTCTTGGGGCTAAATAGATTTGAGTCAAATACTCATTGCATCATTTGCTGGTGGTTTTAGAATGGCTTAGGTAGTTTACCTCTTAATCCCCATTCTTCATCTGTAAAATTGAATTTACATCCTGGGATTATGAAGCTTAATAAATAACAATGTGCTTAGCACAGAGTACATGCTGTTTCCCATCTTTCATTTCCACTAAATGGAAAATAAGAAACCTTTCTTCTGAAATACAAATGTTAAAGTCCTTTCCGCAGCCCTTGCCTTCCTTAAACCTCTTGGTCATTCGGCCCTTAGTGACAATTACTGCAATTAAATCAACAATTGCTGTCCCAGAGATGGGGAACTGGCTTTATATCCATGTTATTTCTGCTTGATATGAGTGACTGCCTGCAGTGCTCAGTTAGGGAGGCTTCTGAGGCTCTGCAGAGAAAGATGCCTGTCAGGTTGCCAGAGAAAGGCGTGGCCACATGTTTTGGCATCAGACTCATTGCTTTACATGTTTGGGATGTGCCTGCTGTGTTCTGGGCATCGAGCTGGGCACTGAATTTGTATAAAGAAACCCATAGGTGGCACCAGGGAAGGCCTCTTTGAGGAAGGGAGACACGAGTGGTGAGAAGGAGCCGGCCTTCTTTAGTTAGTCTCTTAGTGGAAGAAAAAAGA